AGGTCCTTTTCTGCAGAACTGCTGCTTAGCCAGGTGGTCCCCAGCCTGTAGCAGTGCCTGGGATTCTTCTGTCCTAAGTGCAGGACTCTGCATTTGTCTGTGTAGCTGCTCTGCACCGTCAGAGGGGGCAGGGCATTCAGCTCCTTTGCCAAGTCCTCCTGGCCCCTTTCTGCTCCCCGGCACCCCGCCAAACTCTACAGCTGGCCATGCCCGTGCAGGTTTGAACCCCACTGACGGTGCCAATGGGCCATGATGGCGCCTGCTTGGACCGGTACGCAGCTCCGTCACCGCCTGCCCTGTAACATCAGGGGCCTCTGCGCTGTGGGGGTCTGGGTCAATTCCCTGCCATCAGCCGCCTGCCCACGAGCACCAGTCTCACTCTGGCTCTCACCAGCCTTGTAGGGCAAGGGCAACACCCCTTCTGGTCCTGGGTCTCCCACATCCACCCTCCGAGTTCTTAATGCTCAGGCCCTGGGACCGTCCCCTCTGGTGCGTCAGCATGAAACCAGCCCCCCAGACACCAGCTCACTTTGGGGCACGCGCTCCCCCCAGTTTGCACCCCAGCGACCGGCTTGGGGGGAAAATAAACGTTTATTTCATGGGAAAGCTGCAGATTCCCAGAGGAAATGGGGCTGTGGGGGGAGGGGAGAAAACCCACCGAGTTACACAGACAGTAACGATGCACCCTCGGGTGTTACACTTCCAGCCTAGACAAAGTCCTGGGTGCAAGTAGCATTCCCTGGTGCCCTAAACCAGTCCCACCGTGTCCCTGCAGCTACAGGAGGGCTCCCGGCTTCCTGGCCAGCCTCCTGCCGTGGGACTGTGCCCCAGGGCTGCTCACTCAAAGCCCTTCCATTGTGGCCGGGTTTGCGGTTGTTTGCGTCACTCGCTGTAGAGACTCCAGTGGGGAAAGTTCCCTCCTTTCTCAGTGGCCGAAGCCTGGCGCTTCCTTTTCCCGCAGTTTTATCCTGGGACGGACAATGGCTCAGGGCCTATCCGCTAGCCCCTCCCTGCAGGGCTGCGAGGTGGGGCTGGTCACATTGCTGTTGCAAGGACCATTTTTGGCCTAGGCACACATCCCTTTACCCCTGACCTGGCCGCATGGTGCCTGCCGGCTGGGAGGGGCCATGCCGCAAACTGACATAACACGCCAACGGCTGGTTTAACTGCTTATGGGTGGGTGGGTTTAAACCTCTGGTTCTCCCCCTGGGGTCTCTGGACCCTGATTGCCCAGGTGTGCTGAGTGCCGGGCCCTAGAGCGGGGCTGGGCCGGGGACCCAAACCATGTGTTTGCCGCACAGCCCCTTCCAGCCGTCCAGCCCCACTGCTCCCTCCCGCCCACCACCTGCACCACACAGGCTGAGGGCAGAGGAGTCGGTTCTCCGTTGCCCTCTGCCGGGACCATGGGCCGAGAAACTGGAACTCCCGGCCAGCCTAGGGGAGCGCCTGACCCCAGGGTGGCTGCACCGCTGGCTCACCAGACCTGTCACTATCCCGGGGCAAAGCTGGCTGAGCAGTGGGCCCCTCTCCCCTCCCGGCTGTGCTCTGGCCATGGGGGAGAGGCAGCGGAGAGTCCAGGTGTCATGTCTTGGGCAGGCTCTTTCCTGGCAGGGTGACAGACGCTTGTCTGCTCCCCGTGTATGGGGCGTCCCGATGGAGGCCTGTTTGCAGACTGAGCCAGATGCTGATTAAGAGATTGTGAAAGCTACACGAAAGGCGGATCCAGGCAAAGACACCCGGGGGTGGGGCCGGGGTTCGTGAATAAGGCAGGTGGATGGTTCTGATACATCTGGGGATGCAAACAGGTGTCTGGGATCTTTCTCGGGGGGCAGGGAGCTGCCAGCTGCCCCGTCCCACTGGTGGAAGATGACAGCCAGGCCTGGCTGTCCGACGCTGGAAGGACTCAGAGGGAGCGTTGCTCTTGAGGTGAAAGTATCTTGTTAAAGAGCTCGAAGCTCCAGAACGTGTCCGATGGTTTTCGTTGACAGGTGGCCATTTGCTGCCCGCCTGTCTCCTGCCCACCACTCGGCTCGCTGAACCTTGTGCCATGGCCTCTGCCTCGGTTTCACTAGAGCCGTCTGGGAGCTCTGGGAGTGCGTCCGTGCGGTGACGGGGCAGCCGGCGTCACTGTTCCCAGGGAGCAGCAGGTGGGCGCCGCGTGCCCAGCGGAGCAAGGGCCGGGTGCTCCTGGGGGCGCTCCGAGGGCTCGGGACTGGCCTGCCGGGGACGGGGGGGCCTGGCAGGCGGAGCGGGGAGGGCTTGTGCAGCTGGTGGCCGGCAGAGCTGGGGAGCTGGTCCCGGCCGGCACAGATGGTCCTCACACTCGGGGCAGGTGTAGCGCAGTGCGGGCAGCATCACACCCCTCCCCTAGTGCTCTCCCCTTCCTCCCCATCCCCAGGGGGCAGTTTTCTTGGCTGCTCTCCCCATCTAACCCCTCCCACCCGCCCCAATGCCTCCTCACCTCCCTGCCCCCCCACCCCTCACCTTCTCCTCACACACCCCGTCACCCTGCCCATCCCAGAGCTGTCCCTCTTGGTCCTCACCTGCCTCTGCAGCAGTGCAGGGTGGGTGGCAGTGAGGGGGTGGGCAGTGGCAGGGGGCTGGGTGGTGGCAAGGGGGGTGGAAGTGAGGGGGTGGGTGGCAGTGGTGGGTGGCGGGTAAGGGAGATAGGCAGTGACATGGGACTGGGTAGCAGCCAAGAGGTGGGTGGCAGTGAGGGGGTGGGCAGTGGCAGGGGGCAGCGGGGTGGCAAGGGGGGGTGGAAGTAAGGGGCTGGGTGGTGGTAAGGCAGCCAGGGGGTGGGCAGTGGCAGGGGCCTGGGTGGTGGTGACGGGGGTGGGCAGTGGCGTGGGGGTGGGTGTGGTGAGGGGGTGGGCGGTGATGTGGCGTGGGGGTGGGTGGTGGTGAGGGGGCTGGGCGGTGGCGTGGGGCTGGATGGTGGTGAGAGGGCTGGGCAGTGACGTGGGACTGGGTGGTGGTGAGGGGGCTGGGCAGTGGCGTGGGGCTGGGTGGTGGTGAGGGGGCTGGGCAGTGGCGTGGGGCTGGGTGGTGGTGAGGGGGCTGGGCGGTGGCGTGGGGCTGGGTGGTGGTGAGGGGGGTGGGCAGTGGCGTGGGGCTGGGTGGTGGTGAGGGGGGTGGGTGGTGGCGTGGGGGTGGGTGGTGGTGAGGGGGGTGGGTGGTGGCGTGGGGGTGGGTGGTGGTGAGGGGGCTGGGCGGTGGCGTGGGGCTGGGCGGTGGTGAGGGGGGTGGGCAGTGGCGTGGGGCTGGGTGGTGGTGAGGGGGGTGGGTGGTGGCGTGGGGGTGGGTGGTGGTGAGGGGGCTGGGCAGTGGCGTGGGGGTGGGCGGCGGGCGTTGGAACAAGCTCCCCGTTGCCACACAGGCCCACGAGTGTGCAGCGCACTGTCTGTGGGCACACGTGTGTGGGTCTGTGTGTGCTAAGGCAGGGGCAGGCAGGTGTGTGTCTCTACGCACCTCAGCCCAGCACAGAGGAGCCCAGGAGGACCTGGCCCCGAGGCAGCTGCCAACCGGAGGGCAGAGCCCTTTGCCAGGAGGAGACCGGCTGGGCTCAGCCGTGCCCACGGCTGGCTGCCAGTCACACGGGCTGCGTGAACACGCGCTCTGGCCAGGCCAGCCCCAGCACCCCTCCCTCGCCAGCACAGGGCACCTCCAAGCAGGTGCTGGGCTAGTGCTCGACTCCCCGCACTGCCCTGCAGTGACGGGCGCTGCTCTCTGGGCTGGGGGCCCACCGACCACCGGCATCCTTCACACACCTCAGCACTCTCGGGCTCCCCAGCCCCGTGTCCAATGGGGAAACTGAGGCACAGACAGGGACGGGACCTGCCCAGTGTCACGGAATCCCCTTGGTCACCTCTTACCCCGACCCACACATCCTCCTCCCCCAGTTGCAGGGCCCAGTTCAGCCAGAACAGCGCCGGGGGGCCGGGGTGTGTGTGTTTGATCCTAGGGCTTTGCAAACCACCCCCGCACCCCCCCACACACACACAGCCCAGGGCTCGGAGCCACCGAACTGGTTGGAGTGCGACGTGCCCCACCTAGCGGGGGAACATGGCACGGCAGCCCCGTGGCTAGGAGAAGGGAAGGCAGCAAGCCGCAGACCTCAGCCGGCGAGGCAGGGACTGGGCCCCCATTAGCCCAGGGGCCAGGACTTGCTCTGTCTGGAGGGCCGTGCAGGGCAGCTCGCACAGGGCAGTGCCATGGGCCGAAACATTGCCCGATGGTTTCCAGCAGGCCGGAGCAGAGAGACGCAGCCAGGTGCCCCTGCCCTGCATGGCTGGAGCATCCCCCAGGTCCCCAGCACGGGACAGGGATGGTCTCGCCCATCCCCAGCCTCCATGGACAAGCGCGCCCACAGCCTAGACAGCCCCAGCCCCCTCCTGGCCAGCACCTCAGGCCTGGGCCAGCCCTCGGGGGAGGAACCGGGCCAGCTGGGTGATGCTCTGAACGGGCAGATCTGGGGGAGCCCGGAGCACTGCGGCAGCCTGGGGGCGCTGCAATCCCCAGGGCTAGCTCTGTGGCGGGAGAGGGGCGGGTTTGAGACCCCTGGGGGGTCAGGCAGCTGCTCTCCTCCTGGACGTGATGGGGGGTCGGCCCCTTGCAGGCCCGGGGGCTCTTTTCGATTGGGTGGTTGGCACAGCCGTATGGCCGGTCGCCCAGGGAGCGACGTGGGAGGTGCCCGCCCTCACCCGGAGGAGGGACCATCAGACACAGCCTCTGAGGCAGGACGTGGGGCTGCTGGCCGGGCCGAGGTGCCCAGGCTGCTTCCCGCGGCCTCCCCTCCCGCGGCCCCCCATTGGTTCCATGTCCCCACCCAAGGGCCAGCTGTGGAGGGGCGGGGGGAAGCCTGGCTGGCTGTGGGGCTGGCAGGGGGGTGACAGTCGGCGGCAGGGTGGGGGAGGGATCGGGGGGGAGATCTGCAGGGTGGGCCCCAGGGCTAGGGATGGGGCAAAGCCCCAGTGGATATACTGCAGGGGCCGCTCCCACCCCCGCCAGCCCCAGAGTGGGGGGGACCAGCAGGGCCCCCCAGTGCAAACAGCTGCAAGCGGAGAGGGAGGCCAAGCTTTACTGGGGCTTGGCCCCCCCTCAAACCTGCAGGTCCCTGTCCCGCTCCAGCGGGGGCCGGTGGCGGATCACGTGGCGCGTGGACACATCCAGGTAGTCGAAGTAGTTGAGTTTGAGCTTGCGCGCGATCCGTCTGCCCAGGAACTCCATCTGCTGAGGGGCGACAGGCAGGGCAGGGGGCATGAGGCCGGGGCAGAGGCCCAGGGACAGTGGGTGGGCACCTGTGGGGTGGGGACATGAGGCCAGGCGAGGGGATCTGGACGGAGATGGGCGTACCCCCACCAAGCACCTGCCCCAGGGTGTCTCCCCCCCACCCTGGAAGGGGGCACTCAGCATCCATGGCCCCTTCACTGCTTGACCTTGCCATGGGGCCTGGGAACACGAACACCCCCAAACACCCCCCTCCCACACACACACACTTGTCCTGAGAGCCCCATGCTCCAAAGCAGCCCCCCGGCCTGCCAACAACTGTGCAAACTCAGCTGGGCTAGCAGGGGGCTGCGGGTCAGGGTTGAGGGGCACCAGCAGAGCTCAGGGTTGGGGGGGAGCCCACGGCTGGGCTGGCAGGGGCCTTCAGGTTGGGAGTGCGGGGCGCTGGCCGGGCTTGGGGGGACCCAGGGTCGGGCTGGCAGGAGCTGTGGGTTGGGAATGAGGGGCATGGGCAGAGCTGGGGGGGCAGGGCTGGGCTAGCAGGGGCTGCGGGTCGACCGGCAGAGCTGGGGGGCACCCAGGGCTGGGCTAGCAGGGCTGTGGGCCAGGAGTGCGGGGCACCGGCCGGGCTTGGGGGACACCCAGGGTTGGGCTGGCAGGGGCTGTGGGTTGGGAGTGAGGGGTATGGGCAGAGCTGGGGGGCACCCAGGGCTGGGCTAGCAGGGCTGCGGGCCAGGTGGTGGGGCGGAATTGAGCTCTCGCTGATCTCTCAGGTTCACAGCAGGCTCGTGGCTGTGGTGGCGGCATGCACCAGGGTCCAGCGCGGTGCCCGGCAGAGCAGGGCCAGGCCAGGCTGCTCACCTCGTACTTGTCGGACAGGCTAGCCAGGGCCAGCACCTCCAGCCCGTAGCCGTTGATGATGAGGCTGTAGAAGCATTTCCCGTAGGCTGCAGGACAGGACAGGCCAGAGGCAGCCGGTGAGGGGTGAGACTCCTGTGCGGGGGGCAGCTGCCCCAGGCCCCTCTCCCTGGGCAGGGGCCGTACCGTCCATCTGGGCTGTCAGCCGGACGTAGATCTGGTACAAGGGCCCCTCCTCCCACAGCTGCCTCTTGATGTAGATCTGGTAGCAGCCCCGGGCGTGGTTGATGACCAGGTGCCGCTTGTGCATGGAGCTGAGGAGGAGCCAGAGGCCGACCAGGATCCCGTAGATGAAGAAGCCGGAGTAATCCTGGGAGACCTGTGGGGGATGGACCTGGGAGCCAAGACCCAGAGCTGGGGGGTGGAGGCAGGGCGAGCAAGCGAGAGGGACCTGCTGGCCACAGCTCCCAGGATGGGGAAGTAGCTGGAGGACTTGGGGGTGAGGGGTCCCCAGTTAGCTATAACCCACCCGGGGGGCGGGGAATGGAAACAACGCCCTTTGCCTGGCCCCAGTCGGGGGCTCTGGGGCACAGCCTGGGACCAGCCACGGGCTCTCCTACCTTCTCACTCTTGAGGTAGAAGACACCGCCCAAGACACAGAGCAGGAAGATCAGGGCCCCCTTCCACAGCATGTCCTTGTAATACTCCATGACAAACACTGGGGGTGATAGAGAGAGCTCAGCATGGGGCCAGGACCCAGACCCACCTGTCCCCATGCAAGCAAGGCCCCAGGAGAATCACCACACTGGGGGGACAAGCCTGGGGCTGCCCCAGGCAGGCCAGCAGCAAGGATCAAACCTGGGACCTTCAATTCTAAGACCAGCTCACTCTGTCCCCTGAGCCAGAGGGCCGAGCACACAATGGGAGCAGGTGGCAGGCTCTTCCCTTTGGCGTGTGCCAGTCAGCGTAAGGTGCCATAGGCACTCGCGCCAAGGCAGTGAGTTCCCTGGGGCAGGCAGAATGCCAGAGGGTTCCAGAGCAAGGAAGCTGAACGGTTGCACATTTTGGAGCAGGGAAGGCAGCGCATTTGTGGGTTCCAGATCACAGTCTGGAGCAGGGAAGGCAGAACAAGTGCCGGTCCCAGAATGGGCTCTGCAGTATGTAATGCAGAACTCTTGCTGGCTCTGGAGCAGGAAGACAGAACAATTGTGGTTTCTGGAGTGGGGAAGGCAGAACCTCTGTGGGGTCCGGAACAGTTTCTGGAGGAGAGCAGACAGAAGCAGGTTCCAGAGCAGGTTCTGGAGTGCAGGAGCCAGCATGGCAGTGAGTTCTAGAGTGGGCTCTGGAATGGAGGACAGACGATTGCTATTTCGGAGAGGGGAAAGAAGAGTGTTTGCAAGCTCCAGAGCAGAGTATGGAGCAGGGGAGGCTGGTTGTGGAGCTGGGAGGGCAACAGTTGCTAGTTTTGGAGTGGGTTCTGGAGCAGGGGAGGCAGGAGGCGTGTGGATTCTGGAGTGGGGCAGGTTGAACATTTGTAGGTTCTGGAATGGGTTGTGCAGAACGTTAGTGAGTTCCAGAGCAGGCAGGAAGCCACTGGGTTCTGAAGAGGAGTAGGCAGAGCACCAGTAGGTTCTGGAGCAGGGTGTGCAGAACATTAATGGGTTCCAGAGCAGGTTCTGGAGTGCCGAAGGCGGTCTCATGGTCCCTCTTCATGACACACCAACCCCACGACACTGCATCAGACACATCCTCCTGTGGGCATCTCAAACACCTCCAGGAGCTTCGGGTGACGTGGGACCATGTACCCTGGAGACCTCCAGGGCCTGGTGCCGGGGAGTGCTCCTCACCATTGGGCTGCTGCACCTGGAAGGGGTAATGCGCGTTCTGCTGCATCCTGCGTGCCAGGGTCCTCTCCACATTGAAGAAGCTGAGGTTCCAAAGCATGAAGGCACCTCGTAGCATGGCTGCTCCTGGGAGGTGGGCGTCCGCCCACACCAACGGGGGCTGTCAAGGGAAGGGCGAGGAGCCAGTCAGCAGGGAAATGCACCCTGTGCTACATACCGTGAACCCTGGAATTCATCAGGCCCACGTCAGCAGTGGGGAAACTAAGGCACAGAGCTGGGACGTGCCTCCACCAAGTCACCCTGGAGTCGGTGGTAGAGCTGGGAAAAGCCCCAAGAAGCCAAGTCCCAAGTTAATATCTCATGTTGCCATCTGGGAGGATCCCAAAGGGCTCCATAGACTCTGTCCACAGCCACCACTTCCCCAGCCACTGATATGCAGCCACCTCTGGGGTGGGATGCAGCAGCTGCTTAACAGCCGCTGTAACACCACACAACAGTAGGGGCAGAAGAAGCCCTGATCTATTTGAAAATACAGGGGGAACTGAGAGGCAGAATGGAATCCCCCGAGCTGGGCTTTGGCCAGGACATCAGCACGTCACAAAAACCGGGGTGGGATCTCAAAGGACCACAGGCAGTTAGGACCTTGGACTCATCTCAGTCAAAAGAGCACATCCAGCAGCAAGTACCCCAAGCATTGCTGACAGCAACACAGCACCCCCAGTGCCATGCTGGGGCATTGAGGTCAGCGCTGACTCAGAGAGGAGAGCACCCCCTCTCGAGCTCCCTGCAGCACAGCACCCCTCGCACCGCCTGGGTCCTGGGGGTCAGCACTGATTCTATCCTGAGAAGTCTCCCATCTAATAACTGACCTGCCCCAACCCTGCTGAGCCAGTACGAGCTGAGAACATCACAGCCCCAGCTGGGGGCTCCGGAGAGACACCCACTGCTGTACCCATGACCCCACAGAGACTCTACCACGCTCAGCACAGAGCCCCCCGGTCCCAGCACTTGCCAAGTCACCTGGCCAATTGTCAGTTCCCCCTAACCGCAGGAGCTGGAGAGTGCCGGCTGGGGAACAGCGGGTCAACGAAGACTGATTCAAGGGCCTTGTCTGTGGCAAGGGAGGCTCAACAGCAAGGCCCTTGTGGGTGGCGGGTGGCATGGAGTGCACTGCTGCGCCATGGCAACCGGCCCCTGTGGGCTCTAGAACAGGCGGACAGAATTCTAGAGAACCCAGGACCCTGTTTCCGTGGCAGCTGTGCTCAGAGCAGGGCAGTGCCAAAGCAGGCCGTGTCTTCAGCCCCGGGCACCAGGCTCTAGAGGAGGAATGTGGGAGGGCATGGGAGTACAGGGGGGCTTGGGAGGGACTAGCACCAAGAAATTGGGCAGCATGCACATTTGCATGTGGGCCTGGGGGCAGCCTGGCTCCAGCTAGCACCCCGTGATTTCCTCTCTGGCTCCTAGGGAGCCTTGCCTTTAAAAGCCAGGACCTCCTGGCTAAGCACTCAGCTGCCAGCATTTCAGTGGGAAGGTCCCAGGCACCTGCTAGGAACCAACCCGACTCAGCAGGCGCCAGGCGTGGCCAGGCCAAACAACAGCTGCTGAGCACCCCTTACTCCTGAGGGAATTCTGCACCACTGCGCATGTGCAGAATTCATGTCCAGTGCAGAATTTGTTTTTCTGTGCAGAAAATACATTCTGCCTGAGAAGTGCTGCAGTTCTGCCTTTCTCCCACCAGAGGCTGCTGTAGCACCAGAACAGACTAACAGCTGACCACGGTTGCATTCATCACAGCACCCTGCCCACAGAGCCAGGTTAGGAGGTCTGACGAAGTGGGACTGTTCTTAATGTTTCCTCTGAATAGTGGGGGGGTGCCTCAGGTTCCCCTGTGCAGTTCTTAATTATCTAGGTAGTGGGGTAAGGGTGTATGATCATTGCAGAGCCCTAAAGGGCAGGTGTGTGCAGGTATCTGGACACAGAGAATGGCCAATACCCTGTTTCCTGGCAACTGATGGCCTGGGTCCTTCCCCCCTGCAAGGTGAAAGCTAAAGGGTTGGAGAACAAAGGAATCAGGTGACCTCCTGGCCCGGGAAAGGGACAAAGACGGGCGGGGGCTGGAGAGAGTTTCAGTTTGGGGCTGGTTGGGGACATGGAGTGAAGTGCAGGCGTGGTTGTCTGGCTCACTGCCCCCCAAAATGGACCCACCTGAGGGGTCCTGTTCTCTGCACCTACAAGCTCTGTTTCAGACCATGTTCCTGTCGTCTAATAAACCTTCTGTTTTACTGGCTGGCTGAGAGTCACGTCTGACTGCGAAGTTGGGGGGCAGGACCCTCTGGCTTCCCCAGGAACCCCGCCTGAGCGGACTCGCTGGGGGGAAGCGCACGGAGGGGCAGAGGATGCTGAATGCTCCGAGGTCAGACCCAGGAAGGTGGAAGCTGTGTGAGCTGTGTGTCCTGAAGACAGGCTGCTCACAGAGAGGAGACTTCCCTAGAGTCCTGCCTGGCTTCATGGGGAGCAGTTCCAGAGCATCGCCCAGGGACTCCGTGACAAGAGGCACAGGATGTGTGTGTGTGTGGGGGGGGGGGTCAGAGAGTCGTGCACATGGGGCTGCTGGGGGGGACACAGAAGCTAGCGGGGTGACAGCATTGAGCCAGGGGCTGAGTGGGAGGGGGCTGCAGGGCCACATGGGGACAGGGGCAGATGTGCTTGTCTGAATGGGAGAGGCTTGGGATCAGCCAGGGTCTGCATGGGGAAAGCTCCCCAACAATCCCTCCACCGCCCACAAATCTGTTCCATACTTCTCCCACCCACACCCAACACCCCTCCAGGTTCACTCCAAGGCTCCTTCTCCCTCCCTCAGCTCCTCCATTACTCCTGACTCCCCCAAGCCTTTGCACTGCTTTTTCTGGGGGGTGCAGGCAGTGGTGAGCTAGAGCCGGTTCGCACCGGTTCGCTAGAACTGGTTGTTAAATTTAGAAGCCCTTTTAGAACTGGTTGTTCCACAAGGGAGAACCAGTTCTAAAAGGGCTTCTAAATTTAACCAGCCAAAAGTGGCGCCTTAAGTGTTGACTCCACGGGCGCTCCATCCCTGGAGCTCCCACAGGGAAAATCTGGTGGGTGCAGAGCCCCCACCTGCAGCTCCCCGCCCCGTGCCTGGCCCCAGCTCGCCTCTGCCTCCGCCTCCTCCCCTGAACACGCCGCCCCGCTCTGCTTCTCCGCCCCGCCCCCGGCTTCCCGCGAATCAGCTGTTCGGCGGGAAGCCGGGGCAGGCTGAGAAGCAGGCGGCAGCTTCACGCTCAGGCCCAGGGAGGCGGAGGCGGAGCAGAAGTGAGCTCGGGTGGGGGGGGCATGAGGAGGGCCGCCTGCTCCGCAGCAGGTAACCTGGGGGGGGACGGAGTAGGGGCACCGCTCCCCACCCCAGCTCACCTCCACCTCCCTGGGCCTGAGTGTGAAGCCACCACCTGCTTCTCAGCCCTCTCTGGCTTCCCGCTGAACAGCTGATTCGTGGGAAGTGGGGGAGGGGGGCAGAGAAGCAGAGCCGGGTGGTGTGTTCAGGGGAGGAGGCGGAGTCGAGGTGAGCTGGGGCTGGGCATGGGGCAGGGAGCTGCCGGTGGGGGCTCTGCACCCTCCAAATTTTGGTCCAGCCCCAGAGCACCCAGGGAGTCAGCGCCTAAGGCAACACTTTTGATGTGATCAGTGTGGGGAGCAGCCATTCCCCCTGTTCCCTCCCTAGCTACGCTCCCCCACCACCTAGGAGCCAGAAAATCATAGAATCATAGAATATCAGGGTTGGAAGGGATCTCAGGAGGTCACCTAGTCCAACCCCCTGCTCAAAGCAGGACCAATCCCCAATTAAATCATCCCAGCCAGGGCTTTGTCAAGCCTGACCTTAAAAACTTCTAAGGAAGGAGATTCCACCACCTTCCTAGGTAACGCATTCCAGTGCTTCACCACCCTCCTAGTGAAAAAGTTTTTCCTAATATCCAACCTAAACCTCCCCCACTGCAACCTGAGACCATTACTCCTTGTCCTGTCATCAGCTACCACTGAGAACAGTCTAGAATCATCCTCTCTGGAACCACCTCTCAGGTAGTTGAAAGCAGCTATCAAATCCCCCCTCATTCTTCTCTTCCGCAGACTAAACATCCCCAGTGCCCTCAGCCTCTCCTCATAAGCCATGTGTTCCAGACCCCTAATCATTTTTGTTGCCCTCCGCTGGACTCTTTCCAATTTTTCCACATCCTTCTTGTAGTGTGGGGCCCAAAACTGGACAGAGTACTCCAGATGAGGCCTCACCAATGTTGAATAGAGGGGAACGATCACGTCCCTCGATCTGCTGGCAATGCCCCAGCTTATACATCCCAAAATGCCATTGGCCTTCTTGGCAACAAGGGCACACTGCTGACTCATATCCAGCTTCTCATCCACTGTAACCCCAGGTCCTTTTCTGCTGCCGAGGACCTGCCAGATGCTTTCTGGGAGCTGCCCCAGGTGAGCACTTCCGGGACTCCCCACCTCGCCCCCGCCAGGTCCCTCTGGCTCTTAGGAATAGGGTGGGCACCCACTATGGTGGCCCATGAGACCCTCCTGCCTGGTTCTGGGGACAGGGGAGGGGGGTGGATGGGGCAGGTGTCCTGGGGGGTGGGGGGCGCGTCAAGGAATGTTGGGGGGGTTGGATGGGACAGAAGTCCTGGGGGGCGGGGGTGGGCAATGACCCCCTCGTGGGGTGAGGAGGGAACCCATTGTTAAGATTTTGGCAGCTCATCACTGGGTGCAGGAAATATGGTCCTGTATTGTAGTTTAAATGAATTACTCCCAGTTCTGTAATAATATGCCTAGTAAGCAATCTGTTTGTCAAAAAACATTGTCTGAATCCTTTTTTGTTGTCTGCATTGTTACAGATACACTTGCTGAAACGTATTTTGAAATAAATTACCAAAATAATGGAACTGGTGTGATTATATTGTGTTATTTTGAAAAATAAAATATGCAGAATTTTAAAATATTGTGCACAGAATTTTTAATTTTCTTGGCACGGGAGTAACCCATGGGCCCAGTAACCACGGGTGGATGAATCTGGGAGCCAAGGAGACCTATGCCTCTGCGGCGGGAAGGAAAGCCCTGCAGAGATTGCCCATCCCTTAGTGACT